GAGAGGTTCCCCTACTAATGACAATTATGACGTTTTTCATTGTTTCCCACCTGCATTTCGAAAAACAGATGGCTTTAAAACTAAAAAACTAACGAAACACTCATCCATGTTTTGCGCAATGACAATGATAAAAATGGCCGTTAAGTTTTTCCTGACAACTGAAAAATTCTTTCAAAAACAGACTTAGTGCACAGTTAGCATAAACTACTTTTTGCAAACGTAAGATGACCCGGTATCTATGAATATATTTTGTTAAATTGACATATATCAATAAATGGTTTTCCTCCAATGACAATTACGGCACATGACTGAGGTAATTAAAATACGCCAAAGCTATAGAGGTTGCAGATGTCTAAAGAATCCTTCCTGCTTATCAACGAGCGAGGCATCGTTCGTGAACGTAAAATGAAAACTTGGTTTTGGATTATCAGTTGGTCCCTTTCCATCCTGGCCATAACTGGAAATGGATTTATCATCTTTCTTGTTTGCAGCAAACGACAGCTTCGCACCAAAACTAACGCGTTCATCGTTTCACTCGCAGTGGCGGACCTCTGTGTTGGGATGAGCGCTGTTCCTTCGCAGTTTGTTTGTGAAATATCAGATGGTTGTAACTGGTCATCTATTTTGCATTCATTTGTTTGGGCAGTAAGGAACTTGTTCGCATATGCGTCTGTGACAAACCTTTGTAGTTTGGTCCTGGACCGCTACATTGCCATCGTGAAACCTTTAAAATACTTGACATTTATGAAGCGTCGCCGAGTAATTCTGTTGGTCTTCTTATCATGGGTAATTTCATTCGCCGTTGTTTCTGTTACAACAATATGTCAGCTGTCTTTTAAATGTAATTCAATTATAATTCACTTTTCGGTTTGTTTAGTCATCATCATGGAGACTTTTCCAAGTTTGATGTTAATATTCTGCTTTGTATCTATGTTAAAAGTTGTATTTAAACAAAATCAAGCCGCTCGTTCATTGGAAAAACAGTTACGCTTCAACCACCTGGTCTTCTTCAAAACTAAGGAGAAGTCCGCCATTATTATGATGGGGATCGTGATCAGTTTGTTTCTTGTGTGTTACGGGATGTATTTTCGCTGTAGTGTTATTTTTTTATATCATGGCAAACCATTGTGCAACGATAGCGACTATAAAGTTCCTGTTTTAGTGTTAAACTCAGCAATCAATCCTCTGGCTTACTCTTTTTTCAAGCGAGACATTAACAAAGAGGTGAAACGATGCCTTTGCTTTGCCCTTTGATAAAACAACGACTTATTTTCTTGGTGAGGACAAGATTTTTATGGGGGCACTGTGAAGTGTCAGTTGAGGGGCCTGAGGCAGAACCTTTATTCTGTAAGAGGCTCTTTTATTCTCAGTCCAGACGGCAGAAGATTATTAAATATTGAATTTATTGTAGGAATCAGCTCTTTACTTAAATGAACTGAGCAAGGTGGTAACGTCCCTCTTTTTCAAGAGATACATTGGTTAAAAAAAAGGCAGTTTAAGAACACATATGGCTACTGATATAGCGCAATTCTTAAAGCATTGAGCAGAAATAGAGGTTATTATGTCGCTGGAAGGTAGTGTTGCAGAAAATTTGTACATATTCACATGTAAAATAATAAACCCTGTTCCATAAGAAAAAGATGATAAAAATAAACTGACCTGACGTTCAACCATTGATGGATGGTGACACACATTCCTAATAATAACAATGATATTACTGATAGCGATAATAATAGCAATGATAGTTTCTAGGGGTTAGCCCGAAACCCTCATGGCTCTCATATCCTTTAGGTACTGATGATAATTGAACTGTTCCTTGTAATTTTGCTCGTTAATAATAAATGATTTTCAAATCTAATTGAAATTCAATTTAATATGAGAACTTTTTTTCGTACAAGAAAGCTTTTGGCAAATTCCATCAGTCCGTGTCTTACGATATTTTGCCATTCCTCCATTTTATAATTCAGTCAAATAGGGTCGCTTTGTTAAAACTCAAATGTAGCGCCGGGGTTTTCTTAGCATAATTCGCTGATTCAAACGGTACAATGCTCTATCTTCAGATAATAAAAAAAAACTGCCCCAAAGTTTCCATGATGTATAGAACACACCCATTGAGATATTTCTGCAAGGAAGAGTTTTGTTTCTCATCACACTTCGCCATAGTAAAATTATTTTCAGACGTTTGCCGTTTTTTCGAAGTGTCACGGCAAGATCTGAAGAAATGAAAATTATAAACCTCGGATTTACTGGGGATAATACGCTGATTCAAGAGGTAATTTGCTCTCCCTTTTGCAAGAACAATAGGCGAAGGCTCCCAAGCGTTAATTAGGAGCTTTAATTTATTCAGGGTGAGCCCGCTTAGCGCTGCGTGTGCAAGATTTTTGCGAGTAGCGGGCAGTGTGTTTTTTTTCCTCTTCTCAGGAGTTGTTTTTACTCAAGTTTCAAAGTTTTGTAACATTTTGGTAGCAGAGCGAAGTAAAGTTTATCATAGGAAAACTGTGGGAAAGCATTGGAACCGAACATCTGGTGGAGGTATACGTAACTACTTGTTTTAGTGTATAGACCACTTTCATAAATGGCTGCCGTATAAATATCCTGTTTTTTAAATTCAAATTAGCCCTACTGGCCTCGCCTGAGATAATCTATTCTTTTGAATTTTGTACTGGAGAACGAGTTCAGAAGGGCTAATTTAAATTTAAAGAAAAGAATATTAATCCGGCAGCCCTTTATGAAAGTGGTCTATACCGTACGGGTGTCAAAAAATAGTTCATTTCTTCAGTATACCGCTAAATAGAGGGAAATTAATCTCTTGACGCGCGATTTCATCTGTTCGGCTGCTCGGAGGTAAATAGATATATCTTATTAT